AGTATTTTTTAACTTAAAGTTAAAGTCTTTTTAAATAAAATTATCCACTTATTATAAAAATACTATTATTTAGCTTTTTTCTTTTATAAAATAGACTTTTTTTTTTAATTTAAAAATTCTTTTTTTTCTTTTATTTTTTTTTAAAGCTCTACAGTTTTTAACTATATAATTTAGCTTACTATAATTATAATATTTAAAGTCTTTTTTTTTTTATATAATATTAAGGTTTATTTTTTTTAGTTTATTATTATTATTTTTAATAATATAATTTTATTATTTTTTACTTTAGTTTACTTAATATTTATCTTTTTTATATATTTTCTTAAAGATATTTATTTTTAATTTATAAAATAGATTATTAACTTTAATATATTTATTTATAAATAATATAAGGTTATATATAATTTAGTTAAAGTTATATATTTTTTTTTTAAGCTTTAGCTTAAGTTTATTATAAAATCGTTTAATAAAGGCTAATTCTCCCCAATTAACTTTAATAAAAATATTTTTAAAACTTATTATATAATCTAAGTATTTTCTTTTTTAATATATATTAATAAATTTATTTTTAACTATTTAAATTTCTTTAATATTTTTAAAAGTTTTTTTTAATTCTTTTATATATTTTTTATAATTACTAAAGATTTTTTTAATTTTATTATTAATGGCTTTATTTTAATTATTTAAATAATTATTTAAAATAAATTAAAATTATTATAGTATATATTTTTTAAATTAAAATATTATAAAATAAACTTTCTTTTTAAGGGTATTAAAGATATTCTTAAAATTTTTAAAATAAGCTTTAAGTTAAATTAAATATCCCTTAAGTTTTTTAATACTTCTGTTATATATAAATAGTAGTTAATATTTAATAAAAATTTTAATATTTTTTTTAATTAACTATTTTTTATTTTTATTAACTTTATTAATAAAAGTTTTATTAAGTTAAAATATATTTTAAAAGATTATTATAATTTAATTTTTAATTAAATTTCTTTAGTTTAAAGTATTTTCTATAATAATATTTCCTTTTTTATTAAATTTAAATATATTAAAATTAATAGTTAAAATATTACTAAATAAAGATCTAAGTATAATAGTTTTTTTATTTAAAAAATAATTAATATTTTTTTAAATAAAAGTTATTAATATATAATGTTTTAATTTTTATTTTTAATATAAAGTAAAAGTTCTTAAAGTAATAAGCTTAAATTATAAGTTTATATTAATAAAAAAAATAAAAAATAACTTTTAAGCAGTTATAATTATAAATAAGTAAAAGTAAAATAAAAAATATAGTTTATATTTAATCTTAATATTTTATTAATAATTAACTATTTAAAACTATTTAAATAAAAATAATAAATAAAACTTATATATTTAGTTATTCTAGGGGGCTTATAGCTCAATATTTCTTTATATTAAGTGATCCTATAACCCTAAATATTAAAGCTTACTTTTATTATTATACATATTTAGGTAGGCCCAGAATCCCTAATCCTAATTAACTATCCCTTCTATAGTTTATCCAAAAGGCATATATTCTAAGTTAGGCCGTAACATAAAGTTATAAGCTTACTTAATATAAAGGGATATTATAATATAAATTATTAAAAATAACTAAATATATAAGTTTCCTTTATTATATTTTTTTAAATAGTTTAAATAGTTAATTATTAATAAAATATTAGAACTAAATATAAATTATATTTTTTATTTTACTTTTATATATTTATAATTATAACTGCTTAAAAGCTACTTTTTATTCTCTTTATTAATATAAACCTATAACTTAAGCTTATTACCTTAGGAACCCTTACCCTATATTAAGAATAAAGATTAAAATATTACAATTATATAGTTAGTAAATATAGTAGCTAAATTTAGTTTAATTACTATATTAATAACTGGTTATTTAAGCTATTTAAATAAATATTATAAATATAAATTTATATACTTAGTTAATCTTAGGTTCATAGGGCTTATAAAGTAAGCTAGTAAAATAGTTATTTATCTGGTTTGTTTAAAGAGTTATATAAGTTAGATACTATTAGCTGGTTGGCTTATAGTTAATTTAGTTCCGCCTACCCTGTAGGCCTATTGTCGCAACTATAAGAGTTAAGTCGTAATAATAGTATTTATAAATTTTTTTTTATTTATATATATATTAATATTAAGGTTTTAGGTTTTATTAAGTATTTAACTAAACTAAATTATAAAGCTAACTGAGAGAACTTAAGGCTCTTTAAAGTTATATAAGCTATCCTAACTAAAGCTATAGTAAGGAAACCTTAGTTTATATAACTTAAAGTTACTCTGTATAACAGCTAATATTTTAAATTAAAACTCTCTGCTGCAACTACAGTTACTAATCTTTTATTAAGTAAGATTATATAAGGTAGATAGGATTTAAACCTGTAACCTGTTAAAAACTCTTAGTAGCTGTAACTAATTATACTATCCCACTATATATATAATATTGCAATTGCCTTCCGCTCTGTTAAAGAGCTAGATTACTTACACATCGCTATTATGGTATTTGGTAAGCTTGAAAATTTTCTTAGCATTATCGCAAGCAACCTTCTTGTATCCCTCTGCGCCGCCAAGAGCCTCCGCCAATGCTTTTTCATCACCATCAAACCAACCCGCCCCGTTCTGAACTGTCTCATAAGGCGTATCAATGCTGAAAATGATGCGCTCAGGTCCCAGATAATCAGCAACATACTTCACGGTCTGCGTTGAAAAGTGACCGCTGGTGGTAACCCATATATTGTTCTTGAAGTAATGAAGCAGAGGCTTCTGGCTCATAGTATCGCCTCTGCTAGAAGCAAGGGGACGCTCGACATCCTCGAGCCAGTGATTCGTACGCCAAAAGTCAAAGGGAAGATGTTCCCCGAGATGACCAACGAGCAACTTAGCCTTGGGATGTCTATCGAAGACGCCGTTGGTGATAAGACCCATGATGTGGACTGACACATCGTTTGCAAAGCTAAGAGGTGGGCCGATAAGATACTTTCGCTGAGCCCACACTTGGTTGTAGTAGTTTCCGGCAGCAGCGGACGGGTGCAAGTAGATAGGCACATCTAGCTCAACACATTTTTCCCAAAACACGTCGTAAGCGGGTTGATCGTAGTAGAGATATGTCTCGCCGTCCGGTCCCGAGTGCTGAAAATTGTTTAGGAGAGCACCATGGAAGCCAAATTGCTTGACGCAGCGCTCAAGTTCATTACCGGCTTGGACAGGATCATGCATTGAGAGCGCAGCAAATGCTCCGAGTTGGTCACGGTGATCCTTAATTTCGTTCGCAATCCAATTATTGACATCTGTGGCGTGCTTCTCGGCTTTCGCTTTATCTGCGATACCCTGAATGCCAGGAACCGTATATGAGTAAATAGTATATCCTATTCCATGACTATTTGCCAAGTCGAGGCGCTCGCCAACAGGATGTTTAATATGGTCAAGATATCGATCAAGGTCTTTGGGCGCAATGTAAAGGGCTGCCTGATCACGACTTGAGTCGGCCAAAGCGGGCAGCTCGAAAGCTTCTTCGAAGTTGATCTTTCCCTTGATAGGCATAATAACTGAAGGCACCAATTGTTATCTGTAGAAATGGTCACGATGAAGAATAAGTTATGTCTCTGATAAGAGGTAGTGGACTTATTTGAGACAAAACACTATGGCAACTCCATATTTATATTCAAAAGTCTCCCCGGCAGTCATCAATCTATGGAATATAACAACTTGGCTTGGACTATCATAGTACGGAAACAAAGTTCAAGATCCTTTGTAGATCTCTCCCCCTAATAGTTTGTTGAAGTTAATGTTACAACTGGAATGTGACTGAAAAGTGCTTTTTACAGTTTAATGGCTAAACTCAAGCGAGACACATCCAATTACATGTCCCATATATATGGGCGAATAAAACATCCTTTCCGGAGTAGCCGATTCGCTAGCAGAGGTAAGAAACAGAGACGGGTGGCAAATTGACATCAAATTATCGAAGAGAAAATTAATAAATTATCGGTTCATCAATACCGGTACTTAGTCAAAGATGTCAGTGCATATAGCATCCTAATTTGGAGCACAAAGAGCCCACGTACGTCATACTCTCACCGAAACTTTGACCGAGCACTATCATGTTATTCTATTGTAACCTGGTCTAGTTGCTATTGACTTCCAGCTAATTAGCATAGTTAAAGAGTATATCGTGTTAACTGCATTATCTAAATTGAAATTGGCAAATTGAGGGAGTAAACATTGGTATTATGCGACTATATGACGCAGGAGGCCGAGTGGCTTGGTATCTGCTAATCGGGGCCAATCAAAGCCGTTAGCCACTGCCATTGAAGGCATGATACAGGGAACCAATTACCAGTCGACTGTACCCATACAGTGGTTTAATTCGCATCGACCACTCACTTCTTATAATACCAACAAGAGTCCGAAACTCTTAACCCCCCGTTATTACTGTATGACGCTCATTTAGTTTAAATTTCTCCTTACTTTATTGTCTTAGAGCCTTAGACTGACTTCAGATTGTGATAAACTGTGTCGTCCGAACCTCTATTACTAGTATAGAGTGAGTATTTCTAAGGTAATAAGCCTAGTTCAATAGCTTTATGTTAGTAGAGAGGACAGGAAACAGCTTTTGAGCGGTTATAATTATATTTGCGTAAGAATAGAATAGAAGGTTTAACTTATATTCAGTCTTGATATTTTGTTAACGACTGGCTATCTAGACTATATGAATGAGGGTAATGAGTTGAACTTATATCCAGTCGTTCCTTGGTGACTTACGTCGTGGTGTTCCTTTGTACCGGTCAGGTCGTAACATAAACCATGGCAATATAGACTGTCTGACATTTGACTAATTCACTAGAGATAGAAAGCAGGTCTACACATCAGATGGAGGGCGTTTCTAGAAATCAGCGAGTGATGTTGAATGCAAGTTGGCTAGATAGACCCAAAACGCTTGATTGAGCTATTAAAGAGATGATGACAGTAATGATAAAAGAAGGTGACGTTGCTAGCCGCAGCAGCCTCTTTGATTTCTGCCATGTAGCCTGGACAGATAAGCCAAATTCCCCTAGATTGCAATATCACCAACAATATTATTGAGTTTCAAGCTCCTTAAGGCTAAACAACATCAAGGCATAAGCATAACTCTTACTGCACGTCATGCTTCCGTTATAGTAATGGTTGTGCTATCATAAATAATATCTAATTTCATTAGTTTCAATGGCTTTCAGTGGCATGAAGCGAGTATTATGTGTTTATAAGCAGTATTTGATGATCCTCCTCAAGGCATTAACTAACGCTAACTGAGAGCTCCTATGACAAGATCTTAACGCATAGAGCCAATGCATTGGGAAATCGAATTCCTTGCCAAGGCCAGGCTTGCAGACTATTTCTTGCTACCAGAACCATCATACATAGTGGTTCTCCCTTCCATGACTGCTTTGAAAGATGGCTCAGCCAACGCTATCTTTCCATACTCTTTCACGGAATCAGGAATAATGAAATCGCGACCGACATCCTGAAGGCGAAGAATCATAACAACCAAGTGGGCGTCGAGCTCCGTCGGTCGTTTCTGACCAAAAAGCCATGAGCCAGCGCTAGGGTTTAGCAGCGTAGCGACCTCTTCCAAGTATGCTTGTGCTTTGTCTAACTCTGCTTGTGTTTTTTCAGGTGTGAGAGCATTGACTTTGTCGCGGCGCAGGCTAGAAGTATCGCCAGGTGAATATGTCAACTATGTTATATGGTACTTGATTCTTACATTTGAAGCTTATATTCCAATGCTTTCCTGTATCTAGCACTTATGGACTTGTCTTCAAGGCGCTTCAGCGCAGCATCGGCGAACCCAGAAGCAAGCGCCGGGCTTCCCTTGAAAGAGAGTGTGAAAAAGTTAATCTCATGCATCTTGTGTACCATGTCATAGATCTTGGCTGCGTGCTCAGGGGGCAGGAGCCCCGGGTATCTCGCGGCAATATACTCGGAAATCGCAGTTGTTTGGGACAAGGGGAAATCGAAGGCAACATCGCTACCAAGAACCGGAACCTATTTAGATTCCAAGTAAGCTTTGGCTTTCCTGATAATCTCAAAAAATAAATACCTGGCCATTTTTGTTGACATCGCACAGATACCATTCGTTGAATTGCTCTTCTTGGAAGATGTTGATCTCCTTCAAGCCAATATCCATCCGCGATAACTCGTCCTTAGGCTCGCCGCGAATGTCAACTAGCCATCGCATCATCAATGAGCAAATTGAAAAACGATTGTAATAAAGGGTGTACGGAACACCATTCTCAGATTTGGTTACCATGCTGGATTACTTAGATATTGGAGGGGAGTATGCAAAGGGTTCCAAATTGGCTGGATCGATTCTGGGTGACTTTCGGTAGTGGTAGGATAGTCGTTCAACCACACGCGTCGGTGATTTACTTGTATTTGCTGTTGCGCTTTGTACATATTAGTTATAGTTATCGATCTGTTTTTCTATGGTGTTGTCGGAACCATTCCGGCGCGCGTGATACTGGATACCATTACCTCAAGTTTGCGAGGACTTTACTGAGTCACTGGCCATCAAATTTATTACACGTCCACTGTCAAGGGTGCGCAACAATGCATAAGACTTATTAATAATATATCACTTCCCTTGGTAATAGTCCTCTCTCCTATTATGCATGTCTCGGAATAGGAATGTTCCAAAGCTTGCTTCCGTACGCATATTAGAAAGGGGTTGAAGTGTGACATATTAAATGAGTTTACCGCGCAGGCTAAGCCTCCTTTGCATCGGGCTAAGGCAGTAATGCTAGCCACCCTTGTAGATGTTACGTCAGTGGACTCAAACTCTGATTAATGCAGCTCAGCATATACTGTGCCAGATAACATCCTGTCTTTATTATAATACAGTATTGTTTGTTTGTTTATTTGTTTTATTATTAACGTCTACTAAATAAACTAATTACATAAGTCCTTATTTAAACACTAAGACAGTAGAAGCTGCAGTTATTTAAACCCTAAGTTTACTACATTTTAATTTAATAAAAAAAATAAAAGAGGAAGTATTAATTTATATCTGTAAAAGGGGGGTTATATAAGTTTATTTCCTTCACTAATTTCTAAAACTTTTTATAGCCTTTATAACTTAAGAAATATATAAAGTATATAACTTTAAATAAAAGGTTTTTTTTTAAAATATTAAAAAAAAAAAGTATAATTATTTAATACTTTATAAAATATTTTTAAATTTTAGGTTTATTATATTTATATATAGGTTTTATATTATAGTTAAACTTTTTATAGTATTTTATAAAATTATTATATTTAGATTTTTTAGCTAAAAGTTTATAAAAAATAAAGTACAGAAAGTAAAACTTAGGTAATATTATAAAAGTATTAAACTATTAATGTTTATAATATAACAGGGAATTATTATTTTAATAAGCTTTTAATATTAGCTTTTATTTTTTTTTTATTTATTTTTTAATATAAATAATTATAATACAGCTGTTTATATATTTTAAAAGTTTTAAACTTTCTTTAGTTAATTTATTTACTTTTTTATTATTTAATATATTTTTATATTTAAGAACTTATATAACTTTAGTAATAATATATAGTTATAATTCTTTAACTATTTTTCTTAAATTTATATATATACTTTATAATAACGTTAATATAATCTTTAAAATTTTATTTACTATTATAAAATTATTTAAAAAAAAAAGTATTTTTTTAATATTTAAGTTTAATATAATTTATATTTTAATAAGTTTTATAGCTTTAAAAACCTTAATTATTTTTATATTATAAATTTTAGCGTTTATTAAATAATTATATAATAAAATAAACTTATAATTATAATATATAATAGTATTTTATTTTATATTTTCTATTTTATTTTATAATTTATTTAAATATATTAAAAGTATAGTTTAAAGAAGGGTATTAAGTAATTTAAAGTATTTCTTTATTACTTTAGCTTTAAATAAACTGTAGAAATTTAACTTTATTAAAATTATTTTATTATTTTTAATAAAAAAAAAAAGTTTAACTATTTTATTAATTAAAAAAACTATATATTATAGTCTAATTATAAAAAGTTTAAATAAAAGCTTTTTATTAATATATTTATTAATAAAATAATTTTTATTTAAGTTAATAAACTTAACTAACGTTTAAAGTTTTACTTAAATAAATACTATAAGTATAAAAAGGATTTTAGATTTTTTATATATAACTGCTATATTAATTATTTTTTAAGTAAAAAATATTACTTTAGTTATTATTTTAAAAGCTTTATTTATTTTTTTTATTAAATTTAAAGTATTAATAATTATTTATTTAAAAAGGTAAAATATATTTTATTTTTTATTTTTAAGCTATTAAGCCTTTATATTATATAAAGCTACTAAAGTAATATAAACTTTAGCTATTAATATAATTATATTTAAGGGGGAGCCTTTTTATATTTTATTAAATAACTTAAAAAAATTTACTGCTTTAAGGGCTTTTTTAATTATTACTTTTATATATTTTTTAAAAAAAAGTTTAAAGTTAAAATATACTTTTAGCTATTTAACTAAGTTTTATAATATAATAGTTTTCCCCTTAAAGTTTATACTTTCCTTATATATTTATTTTTTTATATAATAGAAATAAATAAACTTTACTTTATTTAAGTTAAAAAACACTATATTAAATTATTTTTAATTTAAGGTATTTTAAAGTTTTTATTAAAGTTTTTTAATTATTTTTTTAATATTAGCTTTAATTATAAAAATTACTATATTATTAATATATTTAAAATATATATTAAGGTTATTAATTTTTAAAATAAAGGAAAAATAAAATATAAAAATAATTAATAAAATAAATAAACCTTAAGGGGCCTTATATTTTAATTTTATTTTTAATAAAGTTATACTATATTTATTATAAATTAATATTTTATAATTATTTATAAAAAATTTAATTTATTTTATAAAAAGTATAAACTAATTTTATTTCCTAAGTCTTAAAATAAAGTAATTTTATATAATAATATTAAAGGCTTTAAAAATATCTAAAGTTAATAAAATAATAACTAACCTTTAAATAAAAGCTACTTTAGTATTATAAATAAAATAAACTATTAAATCTATTATTAATTTTTTAAAAAAAACTTTAAAATATTATTTTAAAAATATTTTATATTTTATAATTAAAAGTAAAACTCTTTTAACTAATAGTCTTTTAAATCTTTTTTTAATATAAAAAAGAAAAAAAATAAACTTATATTTTTTATAAATTATATAAGTTTTCTTAGGTTTACTTAATTTAAAGATAATAATAATTTCTACATTTTTAAATAAAAATAAATAATAATTAACTATTAAATAGCTTTTAAAAAAGTTAATAATATATTTTTTAACTGCTAATTAAATTAATTAAAGTAAAATAATTAAAATCTTATTAACCTTAAGGGTTATATTATTTAATTTAGTAATAGCCTTTTTAATTTTTACCTTTATAACTATAATATCTTATATTATATTTCTATTAACAGAAAGCTTTTACACTTATAAATTTAATATATTTTCCTTTATAGTTTTTTATTTTAAAAATTTATCTTTAAAGTATATTATTTTTTTAATAAAGTTTAAAATATTAATATTTTTATTAATTAAAAAAGGGGGTTAAAAACAGTTTATAATTTTATACTATTTTATTACTATTTAAATATTTTTAACTATTATAATATTAATAATAATCTTATTTTAATATATTTATTTATATTAGTAAATAATTATT